CAGTGTTAAGTCTGTTGAAATAAACTGGGAGAGCTTTTGTTTTAGACGTTTTACGAACCCAGAGGGACAACACTGTGGGGTTTACGTTCTCCTCCTGCATTTTTTTTTTTCCCCTAGAACCATGATACCAGGTGGTTTATTTTCAATGAAAGTGTATGAGGCAAGGGAAAATTCAGCAAGTCCTTCCTTGACACACATAGTTGCATCAAAATTAATGATGTCATTTATTATAGTGCTACCCAAGAGTTGCATCATTAAGTGATTCATAATTCTGTGGTACTGTCTGCAAAGACATGAAACAAAACAGTATCTGAATCAGAGAATGTAGAAGTGATGGAGCAAATAAAAAGTACAGAGGTAAATACAAGTGCAAAGTCTTGTCCATGACTGTTATTTTCACTGTAGAAAAAAGTTTAAGATTAGTGCTGTTCTGGCTATGTTTGCTGAGGCTGAATACACATTTACCAGTGATCACTAAAAATTTAAGCAATCATTTGAATGTGCCCTTCCTTTCAGTACATTGAATTAAATACTCTTATAAAAGTGCAGGATAACCAGAACTCTGAGGTACCCTTTTTTTGTCCTTTTTTTTTTTTTTTTTGTCTTCTCCCCAAGTGTAGTGAATTTAATGCTGACTACATTGCAGGAGTGACAACATTGTCTATAATTGGGCTGACAGGGGCTGTGCAAATGTTGTGGCCCATCAGGATTCTCTTTCTCAGCCACATAGGAAAGTTTTCACTCTAAATCAAGACTTACTAAAGTATATTAAACTTTAGTTGAGACTTCAGTATATTAAACTTTTATAAGCACATATTACTCCATAGATTTCTTTTTACTCCATCCACAAGCTCCTCCTTCCCTCTCTTCTCACCCCAGAAAAAGGAGCTGTCGCACCATCTCCTGTTCCTGTGTTGTAGCAGACTCATTAATGGTGTCTTCCAGAGGCAACTGGAGACCATTTCTTTCATTGTAACTCCTTGTTTTGCCCCAGTATCCTCTGTGCCTACAGTTACGCTGTTCAGATGCAGACTCAGATGGGAATACATTCAAATGTGTCTAGCTGTAATGTTTGTCTTCTAACTACCGTGTATTCTCATAAGTATTTCTAATACACACCACCACTGCTAATCTCAAAACAAGAAAACTTTCAAGAGTTTTCTTTCATTTACTTCTATGGTGTATTATATGGAATTATTTTTACTAAGTTAAAATATAATCAGGGAAATAATATTGAGGCATTTTTTTAAGGTCTAATTTTTGGAAGGATTTTAAAAGAGCCTCTGGGCCTGTAGCTCTCAAAGCTAAATCCATGGTCTTAAATTTCTAAAGACTTATGAAAAAACTTGCTCTTGCAAGTTCTTGTGAATACCTCATTACTCCTGCAGGTGATGTGATAGTGCTCCACAACTACCTGGAGACAACACACAGGAGAGGGGGAAAAAAGTTGATCACTTAATTAACATGGAATGTAACTACTAAGGTGTTTCCACCATGTCAGAAATGTGCAAAATGCAGATGTAGAAAACTTCAGCTTATATAATTACAGCCACAGCTTACACTGTCTAAAACAAGAATAAAATACCAGTGCTGATTCTTTACTGCATTTGGAATCTGAGTCTTGAGAAGTTGTCTTTTCACCGATGTGTTGACACAGTCTAAAAGATAGCATCAGTTTCTCCATCTGCTGAAGTTTCGTTATAATGGGAATGAGGCTCACAGGATCTACCATGAAGCCAGTCAACATGTTTGAAAAATTCCAATTAACTACTTTTGGATCAGAGGAACCCAGTTTAACCAAATGAACTGGAACCACCTGCATTACAACATTTTCCAAATAGCTTGCTATGTGAATGCAGTATTTTTTAAAAGGATTCCGAGTAATGTATGACTCTTGTAACAGCTTTTAATTACATCAGTTCAAGCAGCTGGATGTAAATCGCCCTTTTCTATAAACTCAGCAAGGCCATAAGAATTACTTCAGATGTGAAATGTGAAGCCATCTGCTTCAGAAATAAATTTTCTTTCAGTTTAAAATTGTAAACAAATTTTAACATACACACATCTGTCCTTTTAAAGTGACTATATAGATAAATGTGTAATTCAGAGCACATTTCAGTGGAATGGCGTCTGTAATTACAGCAATGCCCTACGCTGCATATCTGGAAAAACACATGAAGAGCCCAACAAAGAACAATTCTATACTGCCTCTATTAATTGACTAATAAGACATTTCATGAGTATACATTTACAATCCCTGCTTAAGAGGAAGCAAGTGTGCCCTTCTGCCATTTTGGTATGTTGGAAGTACCCGATACGGCCAGCCTGCTTGGGAAGCAGCTGCAGGAGAAGGCTTGCAGGAATTCATGGGAACCCGGCTCTGGCAGGCTCTGCGCTGTGAGATGTGGAGAGCAGCTGTCTGTCCCAGAGGACTGATCACATTAATCAGTTGATAGGGAATATCTGACCTTGGTGAGAGGCAGCCACCCCTGGATCCAGCCCCGTCGTGTTCCTAGACCCACAGGAGCCACGAGACGCTGCCTCTCATAGGTCGCAGGAGTTGTTTCTGTGGGAGAATTGAGAGTTCCCTGGTTTCTGAAGTTGGCAAAAGCTTGTGCCTAGTACAAAGGCAAGAGTCTGCTGATAAGGATGGGCAGTGTTTTGTCCTTTGTGAATAATCTGGCCATTATTTATGACACGGTAGGACAGAAATGATGACTCAGCTAAGCTAAAATACTAAACGAAACGTGACTTAGCAAATGCTGTGGCCTGGGAGAAAAACAGGTAGCTTGTCCTTGAGGACTTGAGGTCTGGCTTTGGGTGTTGAATCACCGCTCCACTCATGTATTGTCCCCTCTCCGTGTTTTCATTCATTGCAGAAATCTTCCCGCATGTCAGCTGCTGTGTGTAGTTGCCATTTACTTTTTACATTTCTCCACTGCCTACCTTCTCTCTGCAACGTAATAATTGCATTTTCACCCTGTCCCTTTTTTGTCTCTCAGGCTACTGTCATAGAAAGGCCATTAGGAGTGAGAGAACTGGCTTGGCAATTTTGCTCTTGCAGAAGGATGACTGATGCAAGAGGGCAGAAGTAAAGGGAAGTGTAGCGCACCCGCTCCGACGGTGAATCCTGCCTTTGAGGGCATGCCCTCAAAGATTTTAGATCTCAGTATGAGGAGGGTCGTGGATGTTCCAATGGCTTTACCTCTACTAGAGCTTCTCATTTTTCTCTCTTAATTTGCTGTTAATGTAATACTGAACTGCAGTATTATGATTTTCTTTTATAATTCTCCTTAACTATTTAGAGGAATTTGATTGTTGGATCTTCAAAACGTTAGAGTTTTGTGACATAGGAAGAAACCATGCAGAGATCAACAGAGATGTGCCTCAGGCTATGGAAACGGGAGCTCTGATGTGCTCTTAAATCTCACCGAGTTCTGGTTGAAGAAGGAAACTGAAATGTAATACCCCTTCATAAGTGCTAAATATTTACTCTTAATTAAATACTAATACTCAGCCTTCTGGGTTGAGCAGTACGAAAAAATATGAGGTACTTAGACACAAATTCTTCACAACGAAGAGCACATTTATTGGATTTGCCTTGCCATTATTTTGAAGTTCAGACTAAAAGGATTTGCAGATGAGGATAGCTGAGCAAAGAGAAAATAAGGCTGTTTGAAGTAAGCAATTGTCTAGAATACTACCTGGTGCTGTTGTTGACCAGAATGTCAGCAGAGACATGCTAGGTTAAAAAAAAACTAAACAATAAAACTGCAACTTCATGCTACATGCAACTGGGTTATTTTCATGTTATAAGAAGTATCTGAGTCTCAGATTTGGGACTAATTATTAGAAGCTACAGATCATGAGGACTAGTAGGCAAGTATTTCTACTAAAAATTCCAGTGAGCCTATTGGGAAAAAAAAAAGTTGCTAATGTATTATTTATTGGAATGGTGATATGGGACTTGCTGGAAATCAGCATCAGCCATCTTTCTTCCAGATTTTGTATTTGGTTATGGAGTTACAGCAGTCCTTAGGTGAGTACCTTCTCTCCCCCAGTAATGTTTACTTTGGAAAAGGTTGCTTCACCTAAGCATAGTTGCTTGTAAGTTAATGATTAAAGAACATGTTGGCCACACAAGATTTAGATTTTAAAAAAAAGTTTGAGAGATGCATTTGCTGCATATTACTGATACTTTAAACTTTAGCAAATAGCCAGGCATTGTAGCAGTTTCTCAAGAATTTTCTTGTTTCTTCTTACTGCCAGTAGGCAGATAGGTTTTACTGTCAAACAACAGAACTTTACTTCTTCATCCTAGGGCGATTCCTCCATTTGTCCAACATTTTCCATATAATTAGCACTTCTAAAAATGTATTTACAGTAAAGATGTTTTAAAGTTAAAATCAAAAGGTAATTTGAAAATAAAATTAATCAGTTATCTTTTTGTAGTTCAGGTGGGCTTAATTGTATGTATTTCTACAAATCTGTTGAATTTTGGGTGTAGTCTTCATAAGCAGTATAATAACAATCCGCCTACGTATTTCTTTTTACTCTCTGTCTTGGCTGCCAGTGGTTTACTTGTCAAATACTCTTCACCTCCACCTTCACCACCACCACCATATTCTATTGATGCAAACTGCAGTTACACATATTCTTGGCCAAGAGGGAACATCTGTTTTCTCCAACTCTTAGCCTGCTGCTAATGGGTTTCCACAGACTGGCTTTGGAACCAGTGCCTGAGAGCAAAACTGTAAGGTTACCATTTTGCCTGCTGTTTCTTCACCTTTCTTGGGATGGACTGAGAAGGAAAAACTCTGTTGTTCTACCATTGTGTTGAAAGGGCTGTTAAACGAGTTTCTGGCTCACTGGCATTGTAGGTTTCATTTTTGGTTTTAATGGGTGTTGTCTAGGGAATCACTTATTTTCTCCAGCTTAGGCAGTGAGGGAAATTTTGTGCTGCAAAGATGTAATTTTTCTTTTTTAATTTTCTTCTGTAGTCTGCCATCTTCAACTTTCAGAGTCTGCTGACTATAATCTTGCTGCTCATATGTACCTGTGCCTATATCAGATCCTTGGCTCCCAGCTTACTGGACAAAAATAAAACTGGGTATGTAGTCTGATCATTTTAAAAATACACAAGCTGTTTGGTTTTAACTGCAATGTTTTAGTATCTTCTAATGATGTGTGATAATACAAATCCTATTTTGAAAAATTTCTCTCTTCTTTAAAGATAAAAATCTTCATTTTGTACCTTACAATAGAATGCAATAAGGTATTTGCAAGCACTTAGTTGCAATTTTATAGTAAGAATTTATTAACTAACAAAGCCAGCTAATATTGCTTTATTAATTATTTTCTAGATTTGCAACTTTCTCATTAGATGCTTATTAAAGTTACAGAAATGAGTGACAGAAAGAAAACATTTTCCTACATGCAGCTATTGCTGTAATGATTTGTTTTTGATTGTTAGGGTAGGTAAGTAAACATTAACAGCAGAAGCTGACCTTTATTTGTTTTCAGGATAGGTGTTTTGGAGGCACAGGTTTGAAACACAGCTTTAGCAATAAACTGTAACTAAAAAAACCTAAAAATATCTTTTTAAATAAGCAACACTATCCTTACGTATGGTCTCTTAAAGTCATTATTTTGTATTCTGTAAGATGAAGGACTTTGTAGAAGAGTTTTTGGAAGCTTCTGCAAAACTTAACCTAATTTTTTCCATCCTTTGGTCACTCTAACTTCACCTCTCACTGTTATTCCTAAAACACATGTTCCTAGGCGACCAGTATTTTTCTCCTTTGTGTTCCCTGTTCTGGAATGTGCTTAATCATAGAATCATAGAATCATTATGGTTGGAAGAGACCTCAAAGATCATCAAGTCCAACCGTATACCCAATCCACCATGCCCACTAAGCCCGCTAAACTCACTAA